GCCCGGTAGGTCCGGCCCCGGAGGAGCCGGTCCCGGGGATGCTGCCGGGACAGCCCTGGGCCGGGAGAGGAGATACGGGGAGAGAGGAGGCTCTGAGAGCGGCGGTGGCTCAGCCCAGCTCCTTCCCTGCTCAGGACACACCACTCCACTGCTGGGTATGTCTCTTGTTCAACATTTATTTTTTAGTCTTCCCGCCTCTGCTCTACTTTTCCCCGTTGCTCTCTTTTATTTCCTCGTCCGTTTCCCCATCACTGGCATTTCCATATGCTTCTGTATCACTGCCGGCTTCCTCTTTTGGCTTTTCATCTTGATTTCCTGTGTCTTCTTCCCCTTCCTCCCTCTCTCTGTCCTCCTCAGATTTATTGTTTTCTGTGTTTTCTGTATCGTTCCCGGTTTCTTCTTTTGGCCTTTCATCTTGATTTCCCATGTCTTGTTCCCCTTTCTCCCTCTCTTTGTCCTTCTTAAGCTTGTTGTTTTTTGTGGGTTTTCTATCATTCTGGGCTTCTTCTTCTGTCTTCTCATCTTGATTTCCCATGTGTTGTTCCTCTTCCTCCCTCTCTCTGTCCTTCTCCAACTTGTTTTTTGTGTTTTCACGGCTGGAGTCACGACCTGGGGAGGAATAAGCAAACTTAAGCCAAGTCCCAGCACTCAGCAGTCGGGCTCAAGAAAGGTCCCCCGGCTCCCTCACCCCCACCAGGAATCTCTTGCTCTCAGGAGCCCCTGTGTTCTGGGACAGGGGGTGCTGGGAAGCAGCACTGAGGGGAGCAGCACTGGGTGCTGTGGGCACAGCACCCTGCCAGGACCCCTCACCGGGCCCAGGGAGGGCCAGCGTGTCAGTGACACCGGGCCCAGGGTGCAGGGGACACTCAGGGAGCGCTGCTGTCTGGACTTGCACCAAGATTTTAATTCACTGCTTGGAAGGAAATGAGTGCTGTGGGAATTCTAAGGTGCAGCTGCTGTGCTCCAGAAGAGGAAAATGGGGAGTTTTTCCATTTCTGGGTGCTGGGAGTGACAAGTACCTTTCCGTGAGCGAGCTGTCGCTTCTTTGCCGCCTTTGCTCAGCTGCTTGATGTAGCTTTTGCTCACCTTATCCAAGGCCTGAAAGGGATGTGGCTCTTAATAAAAGCCCCAGAAATGCAGTTACATATCCAAGTTTTTTCTTTTGCCCTCTGCTGTTGTTAGCAAGTCCTTTCCTACCACAAAACTCTTCATTTCTCCAGCATTACTGCCTGGAGTATCCCAGCTGGGATAACAACTGCTCACGGATGCTGCCCTGAGCTCCTCCACCCTGCAGCAGCCCCCTTACCGCAATGATGGTGTTTTGAGCAGCTTGGTCGGGCACAAGCTTCGCCTTTTCCAGGGCCTTTTCAAAGTTCAGGATCGCAGACCGGTAATCCTTTAATTTCACTGGAACAGACAAGGATATCAGCTGGTTTAACCCAGGATCAGGAGAACAACCAGAGGTAATCACACCAGTCTTGATCTGAGGGGTTGCTTTGGCTGTTAAATCCCAGAGATGTTTTCAGAACGGCTTCTCCACCCTGAGAGCAAAACCTGTGCCCGCCCCTTTACCTTGTGCCTGTGCCACCAGCACAGTGGCGTGGAGCTGCCACTCCACATCTCCCTCTTCATCCGCTGACTCCAGAGACTTCTCTCCGCAATCTTCGGCTGTTTCAGCTTCACCCAGCTCGAGGTAACACCGGCCGATGTCATGGAACAGACAGGCCTTCTCCAGGCTGGATTTTGCCATTGGAATCCTCTTCTCCCAGCTTCAAGCAGAGTAAGACAGGCAGTTATCGACTGTCGCTGGGTGCAGTTATGATTCAGTCGCTGATTTGATAACTGAGGGTTCAGGTATGAAAACTTCCCCCGCCCCTGCTGCAGTGGGAACACACAACTGCCCAGCCATGGCCCGGGTCACTCCAGGCCCCCACTGCCCTCCCTGCTGGGCTGTACTCACGTGTTGATGGCCTGCTGGAACCTGCTGGTCCGGGCGTACACGCGGCCGATGTTGTCCAGGGCCCGGGACACGGAGTCGGGCAGAGCACTGTGACAGGGACACAGAGGGATTGTGGCACTGGCATCGTCCTGCTCCTGACTCACCCTGAGTCCCTCTGGTGCTCCCCATGGCCTCAGGGAAGTGTGGGGGAGTAAAGGGCCCAGGTCAGACTGAAAGCCATGAAATTAAGGTCAATTTTTGATTTTATTTACAGCTGGCAACTGACCCCATGGGACACAGGGGAAATGGTTTAGCTTTATCTTTGATTATTGTTATTTTTTGTGCAAATCTGGCATTCCTTGTAAAAGTCTTTCCACTTTTCTTTGTCTCAGTTTCCCTCTGGGTCCCTGACATTCATGGATGATCTCTGTCTTCCAAAGGGAAGGCCCAAAAATGTGTCTGCAGGCTCCTGGCACCAGCCCTGCTCCCTGTGCTTGGACTGAGCTGCTCCATGCCACAGGCGGCTCCTATAACAACGGAGCCTGTGGGCTTTAATTTTTTTTCCTTAATTATCCTCATTCCCATCTTTGGAAGTGGCTTTGCCTACCTTACCTTAGAGAAGGAAAAACCCATGAGTGGAGCAGCCAAATGAGACGGGAATCAAGGAATAACCGACTGGTTTGGGTGGGAAGGGGCCCTAAGGATCATCCAGTTCCAGCCCCCCCGCCACGCGGTCATTAACGGGAATCATTAGCGAGTCATTAAGAGTCATTAACGGCGTTTCCAGCTGCAGCCGCCAGAGGGCGCGGCCCGCCCGTCACCGCGGCCTTTGGGTCCTTAAAGGAACTTTAAAAGGGCCCTAAAACCAGGTATCTCCTCCTGCCTCTCTCCTGCTAATTCCTGCCTTTATCTGGCGCACCCGGGGAGTGGGATCACCAGGAGAAAGGCAGCCATTTCCTAAAACAACACTCATTTCCAAAGGGATTTTTGAAAATGAGAAACAACCCGTCAGTGACATTTTGAAAGCCCGGTGCAGTATTGGCAAAAATGACCCCCAAACCACTTCAGTTCAAGCCACTATTCCGTGTTTTCTCACGTGCTTTGCAAACTGTTACTAAGACTACATTTTGCTCCACTGTGGTTCAGCTGGAAGAGCTGCAGGATGTGTCCAGTGTGGGCAGGTAAGTGCACCTGGGAGAGACCTTTATTTCAAGCTGCTCTCATGGCCTGAATGAAAAGGGTTTTAAGACAAAATGTAGCAGCAAACTGGTGCAATTTCAAGCCTGAGCTTCCTGAGAAGGAGGTGCCTGCTTGAGGCTCAAGTGCTGACATTGGGACTTGTGTTCTTTCACTTTGTTTCAGCAGAGGTTTCAATGTGCCCCATGCTCTAGGTCCTAAAAATCCACTTCAGGCTCCTTATTTTTGAAATAGTAGAGATAAAAAGTCACCAGAGACCCTGATACACAGGCAGAGCTGAATGTGTGGCCCTGTTAAACCTCCAGGTGAGAATAACACCATTACCTAATGCTAAAACACCCCCACGAGGTACTTTCCCCTTTCCCCACCCACCTGAACTTCCCAGCACTTACTTCTGCCTGGCACAATCCAGATCCCTCCTGTAGCTGCGCAGAGCTGCCTCCATCTGTCCCATCTCCACCTGTGCGTTCCCAATGCAGCTGTGGAGGTCCCCAATCAGTTCACTCTTGTTGGGAACTTCACTCTCTGCCCGCCCTTGTATCTTTTTCAGGAGACGCTCAGCTTTCCTGCAGCTTTCCTCAGCAGAGCCTCTGGCCAGCACTGGGGACGGGGAGCAGAGTTTGGCACTGGGGTGTGACACAGAGATGTTGAGACGTTGTGGATTCCCCATCCCTGGGAGTGTTCCAGGCCAGGTTGGACGGGGCTTGGAGCGACCTGGTCTACTGGAAGGTGTCCCTGCCTATGGCAGGGGGTGGAGCTGGATGAGATTTATGGTCCCTTCCAACCCAAACCATCCTGGGATTCTGTGATACTGGGGAAGGGAGACCTAGTGCAGCGATAACCCTCAGGCAAAGGCTGGGAGTGGTTAGAGCTCCCCACAGCAGTGGGAGGCACTCAGCTTCCAGCCAGGAACCTACTCAGCTCAATGTCCTCCATGTCCTTGGCAATGGCTCTGGCAACTTCAGCCGGTTTCTGTCTCCTGTCCCCCATCCCCCTCTGCTGCAGGAGCCGGCGCTCGTACAGCCGGGCGTAGATCGGCTTCTGCTGCTGCCAGAAGTCCCGGCGTTGGTTCAGGTAGGAGATGCCATCCAAAACCAGGTCTTCGACTTTCCCCCCCTGCCTCATGTTGATCTGCATCAAGTCTGGAAATAAGATAAGGTGGAATCCAGGTGAGTGTCAATGGACCTGAGCTGCAGTGAAGTGGGGAATCGCTTGGGAATGTTCTTCCGGTCTGACAGAGACAGTCCTGGAAACTAAATTGTCCTGTGCTCCTCAGAGCTGAGGTAATGGGGGAGTTACCAGCATTTATAACAAACCCACAGAGGAGTCACAGCCCTGTGAGCAGCACTCGGCGCTGAGCACGAGTGTCAGTGGGTTTGTCGTTGTGACAGAAGTTCAGTCACTTGCAATGAAGCTGTTTCTCCTTCTCATTTCATCAGCACAGGCTTCTCTGAGTTGATTTATCGATGGGGAAGGAAATAAGCCCATATTTATAAATGTTGGACCTGGCTCCAAACCACCTGCCCTCTGCAGACACCTGCCCATGTCCAGCACCACGTGCTACGTGAGCTCTGGTACGAGTAAGGAAGAGTCACAGGGACAAAAACGAAGAAGAGAAATAAAAAAAGGATAAGAGGAAAAGAAAAACAGAACCTGCTTGGAAGGAACATTTAGGTAAACACAATGGAGAAACACCTTCATCCTTGAGCAACTCCTGCAGGAAGGTCTTGTCATCATAAAGCTGTCCCAGAAGCTCTCGCTCTGTTTTTGGATTCTTCACACGCTGCTTCTTTTTTTTCCCTTTTTGATCCTTAGTTGGTAGGTTCTGCAGTTTCTGGTTGTTTTTTCTGCTCTGTGTTGAGAAAAAAAGCAAAGGAAGTTGGGGGAGATCAGTGGGGAACACTGGAATGATCAGAATTCTGTCATGCTCCATATAAGGCAGCTTATTTTTTAATTAAAAGGAAAAAGTCAGTGTCTCACCAGCTGCTTTGGTCATGAGCAAGTGAAATTCTGCAGCCAATCGTGCTCCCTAAGGACCAAGAGGGTGTTACAGGAAAAGCAAGAACTAGTTCTGGCCTCTTGGAGGAGCAAGACCCTTCTGCCACAGAGCACCCCGAAGTGAAGCAATTGAGAAAGTGTCCATTATCAAAACTGTGACCTTAAACATCAGGTAAACCCAAAGTCAATATTGGAGCTCATGGCACCCTGCTGACCTCAGGGCTGTTACTCATTAGCCTCGGATGGGCGACCAGCAACACCCCCAGGAAGGGCCTGGGGAGGAATTCCACACTGGGCTTTGTTTCTCCCCTTGGCTCTTCCCTGCCCTTCTGCATTCTCCTGTAAGTTCTGGGTGGTTTGAGCCAGACCTGCACTAGAAGCAGGTGATAAACACTCATGATGGGTCAGTGTGTTTAAATGCTCAGGGAGCCCTTCAGCAGACCTGTGTCCCTGCAGGGACTGTCTCCCTTCCCGTGCCCATTTCAGGCAGTTTTAGCATTGCAACCACTTTAGAAGCTTCTCCAGCAAGAGCTCTGTGCTGTACCTCTGCCTGCCTGCTCACGAAGCCCAGCTCCTCCTTGTTCTCCAGCTTCACCGAGGCTGGATCTGCAGACACAGAGGAAACCCCTGTTAGTGCCCACAACAGCCACGCAGGCTCCTGTCAGTAAAATGCCCATAAAGGTGCCAAGCCCAAAATGTTCAGTTTGAACTGAAGCTGTTCTAATTCTTTCCCATGGAACAGGGGGTGTTGGTGTGTCCTGGGCGCAGGGAATGCACCTCATCCACCAGCTCCTCTTGGGATTTTAATTCCTATTTTACACAGCACCAGGGGCTCTCATTGCAGCATTCCTACAGACAGGCTACATCCTGCATGGAAACTGGGGAAGGAGAAGGATGCAGGTTCTTCTGGGGAATCACAGCAGGAGTGTAAAATGGCAGGAAAGCTCTGAGCACAGGGAGCTCCTGCAATCCAGAGGATTATTCTAAAGGTTTGTGCACTGACATTAGGGCAAAACTCCCTAATGTGTCCAAGGGAAGGACAGAGCTTCCCAGGCCAGTGCAGGAGGATTCCCTTTGGCACAGCCATGGGGCCCAGACCAGCAGTGTGGGCACAGGCAGATCACTGGGGCAGCAGTTCCCGATCCTGCTGCATGAAGCACAGGCAGGGAAGCACTTTGGGAATGTGCCCTGTTAATGTGTGTGCATTTCCCAACTATTCAAACATCCAGATCCATGCCGATGTGTTTGTTTCCCTGCATCTTGGAGCTATTGACTGATGTATAAAAAAAGAGTTTTCTAGTTTTTTACACCACTCCTGTACCTGCAGCCCAGGGGCTTGAGGGAAGTTAGAGACCCTGCCTTGAGCCCAGGAAGATTCCAGCTGGGAGCTGTGGCAATACCTGATCATTGTGCTAAGCTCAGGAAGCAGCAGGAATGGAGGAAAACAAGCCAGATGTGCAAACCTTCCCTGTTTTTTTAAATAACAATTCCATATGAAAGCGCCGCAGGCTCTGGCGCCGCTGGCACGTGAGTTAATCCCTGGCACTGGGGGAGGGCTGAAGTTTGGAAATTTCGGGGGAGGGAGGCCTGGCCTATCTGGGGATCTGTGCAGGGTGTGAGCGGGGCGTGCCGGGCGCTGGGCAGGGATAGGCTCCAGGGATAGGCTCCGGGATGCACCGGAGCGGATCCAACCCGCCAGGCAGGTTTGGCAGCCCCAGGGGGGGCCCGAGCACGGGGCTCCCTGCACGTGTCATGTCAGGGGTGGCAGCCCCAGGTGAGGTGTGTGTGTGTGCCCCGGACTGGCACAGACTGACTGTGCCCGCCAGCGTGGCTGAGAGAAAAACTAGGGGACAAGGGACAAGTTCTCCGTTTGCTTTGAACCCCACGAGGTCCTTGGCCTCTCCTGTCTCTGCAGGACCCGCTGGTGATCTGAGCCAGAAGTGATGAAAGCAGAGCTCGTTGCAAGAGTCAACAGTTTCACTGCTCTTGTGCAATGGGAATTGGAGGAGAGTCAGGATTTCGGGAGGCCAGTCTCAGGCAGCATGGCACATTTCATTCCAAACTTTGAATATTGGGATTTAGATCTCAAAATGGATTCTGGAATTAAATGGATTCTGAAATTAGTGCTGGAGGTAGATCATAGAATCGCAGAATCCCAGCATGGTTTGGGTTGGAAGGGACCTTAAAGCCCATCCAGTTCCAACCCCTGCCATGGGCAGGGACACCTCCCACTAGCCCAGGTTGCTCCAAGCTCCTTCCAACCTGGCCTTGGACACTTCCAGGGCTGGGGCAGCCACAGCTTCTCTGGGCAACCTGTGCCAGGGCCTCCCCACCCTTATAGGGAAAAATTTCTCCCCAGTACCCCAAGTAACCTTGCCCTTTCTCAGCATGAAGCCATTCCCCCTTGTCCTGGCACTGCAGGCCCTTGTAAATAGTCTCTGTCCACTTTTCTTCTCGGCTCCCCTCACACATTGGGAGGCCACTGGTGAGATGATCTACTCTGGTCTGTATTCCCTGGAACATTTCCATGGTGACTTTGGAAATTTTAGTATCAGGAGTTGCCTCCAAAACTGAAGGGATCAGACACTGTGTGTGAATGAGCACTCAGGGGGAAAAGGAGGAAAAAAAGAGCAGGGCTGGGCTCTTTGTGGTGCTTCCTGGTGCTTCTGGATTCACCTGCCACTGAGCACGTGGACCCAGCAGCAGCAGGACTGTGGTGTGGGGCCCTTGGGTCACTGGCAGAGCTGATCTGCCATCAGCTGTGCCCTGAACAGTGTCAGCCAGGCTCGTGGGGGCCAGGAAGTGGCACTTCTTACTGCCAATGCAGTTCATAATTGCCTCCTCTGCCTTGTTGATGCCCAGCTGGAATTTGTGCTGGTCCGGGCGGAGCCTCCGGCCTCGATGGTAAAACACCAGCGCGAACTCGAAGTCCCCCATGGTGTAGAGGGTCTCTGCCTTTTGGTAAAGCCCCTGAAATGACATTTGGGAAAAGAAATGATTAAAAAGAGGGAAAAAAGTTTCATGGATCTCAAGTAACTCCTGACAGGCAGAAGGGAGAACCCACAGGTGGCACAACCTGAGTACAACAAACCCCAGTCCTGGAGCTGACTGAGCACCTCCACTGCTCCAAGAGCAGCAGAAACCTTAGGAGTGTTTGGAGTGAGCTGTTCCCTCCCAGCTCTGCCTCAGACCCTTCAGGGTCTCACAGATCCAGGCCAGCCCTGGCCCCCCCACTCTCACCACTTCCTCTGGTTACCTCAGTGAACGCTTTGTCTCTTTGGAGCGAGGCTTCAGCATCCTTCAAGGAGTTTTCTGTGTCCCCAAGTTTCAGGAAGCACTTGGAGCGGGTTATAAGGCACTGCTTGTCCCCTGCCCTCAGCTTCAGTGCCTGGAACCACAGACCCAGACATGTCACCAGTGCTGGCTCAACACCACAAATACACAAGTGCAGGTATTTGGTGCCACCTGCACAGTCCCCACATGGATCTTGATGACAGATGATGATAAAACCGCAGGATTTTTATTGAAAAGAACCTTCCCTTGCAGTTCACAGGTTCCCTGTGCTGCAGGGGCTGCCCTGCCTGGGTCACCCCCTGGTACCGAGACCTCCTGGGGACACGTCCCTCCGAGCCACCTCCCCTCGCCGCGGGTGCCACTTTCCCTCCGCTGCCTCTTCCCCCTCCTGAACCGAGTCGCGGCCGCCCCGGGTCGAGGCCCGTCCCGCCTCGGGCCGCTCGGTGTCCCCGGACCGCGCCCCCGCCGCGGCGCTCTCACATTGTTGAAGCAGCCCAGCGCCTTGCGGTGCTGCCCGCGCCGGCTCAGCGTCGTCCCCTCGGTGATGAGGCTGCCGAAGGTGACGATGGGCCCGGGGTCCGGGTCCGCCATGGCTGCGCCGCGCCGCCGTTGCCGGGCAACGACCCCGCTTCCGGTGGAGGCCCCGCCCCCGGAGTGACGTCAGGCGCGCCCGGTCAGTGCCCACGTGGGTCCCGGTGCCCCGGGAGCGGCTCCGGTACCGACCCCTCACCCCGGCCCGGCCAGGCACGCCGGCCCTCGCTGCTGGGCAGGCGCGTCCGCGGGCCGTGCCCGGGGCTGCCGGCGGGTGCTCGCGGTGTCTCTGTCCCGTCCCGACCCGGTGCCCGTGCGGTTCTGTTCTTCCGCCCGCGTTCCCGGAGTCCTGCGCGGCCCCAGTGCAGCCGCGGTGCCGAACGCCGGGCAGAACCGGTTCCTCTGCTCCGCCCGGTCACGGCCGGTGCCTCCTGCAGCGGCAGCACGAGGGGCAGCCGCCGCCCCCCTGCCATCGGTTATTCGGGACCGTTAGGCGCTCGCGGGTGGCCCCGGTACCGGTTTCGCCGCTGCAGTGGCCAGTCCTGGCCAAATAAATGACTAACGGGAGATGCTGCTGGTTCCCTCCCGTCCGTGCTTCAGTCCCGACTTTATTTTGGCGCTGGGTGAGACCCCGCGCCAAGATTCGTGTTGGAGACACTTTGTTCCTGCCAAGTGACTCACAGTGGGGGGGGAGGTGTCTGTCCCGCTCGGGGATGGTGACATTTAACGTCACCATGAGGCAGATCCGCGGTGCCGGGGCTGCGCGTACCCGGCCCGGCCGCAGCGGGGGCGGGAGGCGGGGTGGGGGTCACGCCAGGGTGGGGAGACACAGGCGGCCGAGCCCCGGAGTGACACACCCCGTCCCCGGGGAGCCGCGCAGGGAGTTTCAGGCAGTTGAAGCGTTCGGGAATAGTTTTCCAGGGATACTTTCCCCACTGGCAGCGCCGGGCGTGACACGCTGTGCCCAGCGGGGTGGGCAGGAGCATCGTGTCCGCGGGGCCGTCGCGGGGCTGTGCCCGCTCTGGTGACACCGTCACGGGGGCGCAGCAGCCCCGGCCGCCGGGGCAGAGACCGCGCCGGGTGCCCCCTCAGCACTGCTGATGAGCGCGTTAGTCACAGGCTGGAAATACCAGGGAAAAAGTGAACGTGGGATGGGTGTTTCTGGGAAGCAGCAGAGCCGTGACGGCCGCCGTGAGAGGCTGGTGAGGAAATGGCACAAAGAGGAGGCAGGACGGCCTTGCCCCCCCAGCGTTCCCGGTGCCTCGGGAAGCTCCGTGAGCCTCCCGTTGGCCGCTTCCCCGGGGATCGCGCTCCAGCGGTGCCGCCCGCGCTGGGACCGGAGAACCGGCTCCGGCGGCGCCGCCACTCCCCCGCGGGCACCGCCCGCCCGCGCAGTTGCAGCACAGCCCGCGGGAGACTCCTCGGCCCGTCCCGGCGCCGGGGAACAAGCCCCGCTCCCGGTGCCGGTGACGTCATTAGGGCCCCGATTACGTCAGCGGCGGGGGGGTCACGGCCGCGAGCGCCGCCGGGGGGCGGGGCGGAGGGTGGGCGGGACTACAACTCCCACAAGGCCCCGCGGCCGCGCCCCACCCGCGGTGGCCAATGGGCGCGCGGCCGGCGCTCAGGCAACGTGCACGTGGCGGCCGCGGCGGCCAATGGGCGGCGGCGGGTGCCGTGACCCGATGGGCCGAGGGGGCCGCGCTCGGCGAACAAAAGGCGGCGGCGGCGGCGGCGGGAGCGCGGCCGGGCGGGAGCGGAGCGGGGCAACGCAGCCGAGCGGCGCCCGGGTGAGTGCGGGGGCGTCGGGCCCCGCCGCTGCGGAGGGGGGTCCGCCCGCCCCGGAGAGCGGCTGCGGCTCTGCCCGGCACATGGCGGGGCCTCGCGGGGCCGCTCCCTGGGGCGGCAGTGGAAGGGGCTGCGTGTCGGGAGCCGCCGTGGTTCCGGCCGGCCCCGGCCCCACCGGCTCGCTGGAGGGCGGGCCGGCCCCGGGAGCGCCGTGGTCTCGCTCAAGGGGCGGGTGTGCGGCCGCGAGCGGGGGGCGGCCGGAGCGGAGCCCCGCGCTCCCGCCGGCACGGCCGCCCTGACCTTGCCGGGGTGTCCCCGGAGCGGTGCCGGTGGCCGGGGCGCGCTGGGGCGCGGGCGATGTGCGGGGGCACAGCGCAGGCATCAGCGAGGGGCTGGGAAGTTGCCCCGGGCTGTGCCCGCGGCAGCTCCGCGCTCCGGCTTTGGGCGTCTGTTCCTTTCCCAGGCAGGTCCAGGAGGGCCTTGGCCAAAGCACCTGCACCCCCTGCCAGGAGGAAAATCCCTTCGTGGCCATCCTGGAGGGGCAGTCCCGTGTCGGGATCTCGCTGTTCCCGTACGAGCAGGAGGGTGCACAGCGCGTGTCGCTCCCTTCCCGGGACAGGTGGCTGTGTTCCAGCTCTCCTGTTTGCTGCCTGCAAACACCTCCTGTTTGTCTTGCTGCTTTCGAAATTCTCATCCTGTTGTACAGACTCTCCCATCCCTCTGTTGAACTATTTGTTTTCTGCAGCAGCATCTAAAAGCTGAAGGCTGAGGTGCATCCTGAATATCCTGTTTGTAGGTGTCTGTACTTGTTCTTATCCCTAGTTGGGTTTGGAGTTCAGAGCATCAGCTCTGCTGCCCAATGCTGTGATCAAACTGTATTGAGTTTCCTGCATGTGAGGCTCTGCAGCACTCTCCAGGTAGCAGGGCTTTTCCCACTGTTCCAGTGCTGCCTGAAGTGATTCCCAACAGCCACGGTTGGGAATTCTGCCAGGGAACCTGCCACTGCTTCCACTGTGCAAGCAACATGGGAAGGATTTAAGGAATAAACATATTAAGGACCTTCCCAAGGCTGCAGAATAAGATGGCCTTTAACGACAGGGTTCCAAATTCCCCACTTGTGGCAGTGGGCACTCACCAGGTGTGTGGAGCCCGTCCACTGCTCTCCGTTGGCCACACGTAACCCAGTCCCTGGTCCCTTCCCCTCCCTGGCTGCCGCGTTGCTCTCAGGGGTTCCACGTGTGTGGGGAGCCTCCCCCAGAGCTGGGCAAGCAGCACCTGCTTGCATCACCCCGCACTGCATTTCCCAACCGCTGCTGCGGGACCATGACCCGGTGCTGGCCCTCGCTGTGCTCTGCTGAAACGTGGGCACTGCCAGGTGGGAGCTGATGTAACTCTTCGTGCTGCCGTGGGCTGAAAATACTGGCTGAGCTTGAACTGCGTTAATAAGTGACCCGGGATGGAGTGGGAAGGCTGCTTTGCCATATGAGTTTGTTGACATAATTCTTGGGAGAGCGGGCGAGAAATCTTCACTGGGGAGGGAGTCCTTTCCTCCTGGCAGAAGCATTGTTCAGGTAGGATTGGAGCATGGTACTGAGCAGCATGGTCTGTCTGAACACAGACTGGTGAAGTGGAGTTACAACTCTGCAACCAGAAAGGGTTTGAAGAAAAACAAACCAAATCAGTGCCTTTAATACCTTTTCCTCCCCTTGCAGAGCAGACCGTGTTGCGCTGAGTTAATGCCACATCGTTGATCTCTTGGGAGTCAGGGAGACTTTACCTGGATTCTGTGTCAGGAATGCCTCCCTGTTTCTCCATTTATGTTTCCTTTGGATCTGCTGCATGTTCCCTTCAGCTGGTATTGGGGCAGGTGTATCAGTTGTGTCACAGCAAACACAACATCCAGCTCTAGGATCCTTGCCTGCCTCTTGCCATCCTACTGTATTTCTCTGTCAGTACATTTGGGGAACATTCCTCAAATATAAACCTCTTAGCGTATTTGACAGGTAATGTTTTGAGGGAATACATGCTGCTGAGCTCCTGAAAATGTGCTCTAATCCATGACTCTTACTTGCTCTGGACTTACCAGCAAAGGCTGGAATCCAGCACTTCTTGAATTGGTGGGTATGGATGATGAGAGGTCTCAGGTGTTGCAGGGAAGCTGTTTGTGTTGGAACCTCAGTAAATGAACACAAATCTGTGG